ATTTTGAGATTCTCATTCCAAATTCAAAGTCACTTTGATGCTAAAATAAGAGTTAATTTTTTATCTCATTAATTTTTATTGACATTCTAACAATTATCTAAAATTAAATTATATTTGTGGCTAAAAAAACATATGTAAAAAAAAAAATTTTTTAAATTTGCTTCGGACCCTAGAAGTCTGGGCACTGCACTGAATTTACATTTATTGTTGACTGTTGTATTACATGTGTACATATTGCTAACCCAATAATAGAGAAAATGGATTGATGCTCAATATCATTCAACAAAAAACAACAAAGCAGTCCGTTTCTCGTAAAGTGGAAGATCCATAAGAACAATACAATAAAATTAAAGAACATTGAAACTCAAATCAGTTCTTTATAGTTATAGGGTTACATACTAACTATAAACTACGTAAAAAAAGAAGAGAACTATAGACTACTTTAACAAAACAAAACAAAAAGTAAATATAGACTACAAATATTTAGCTTGTAATGAAAAGAGATTTTTGTTATAAAAAAAATCTAGAATATTCGTAAAGACGTTTTAATGTATATGGTTCTGTGTAGCTAGTTTTCACTTATCAGATAAACACATACGTAACAAACAACTAGTTAAAAATACGCTAACTATATACTAAAAATAGTTAGAAACCATTTCTTTATATTGAGAAAACAAACAGCTCAAGAACTAAAATATAGGTAAAAAATACAAAAAATATAACCTCGTAGACACAACCAAATACATCCATCTCCTTTACAAGTTTAAATTCCCAATTTCCATTTTCCCTTCACTTTAATTCTCCTTGAAGGTTTGATCAATCTGCTCTGTGAAACTCACAGAGAATCAATCATCCTATTCCTATAGTCAATTAGACAATATAACCTTTAAAAAGGGTTTCATTCGATTTTAAAAGCTAGAGGTTCAATATCAACACACATATATACCATGAGGAGTCATTTTTTCTTTGTCTTGCTTCTTGTAATTCTAACCATTGGTTATGGAACTTTAGGAGCAGATACTGAAAAAACTCAACCTGCTGACAACAAATCACCACCAGAAAGTTCTGCAAAGGAATTGATAGATAGTCTTGGACCGTCTCAAGATTATCCCGATTACGAAATCCCTAAAGAACTTGCACCGGACGGTGTTGTGGTGGTGGAAGATTACGTGCCCATTAGCCCCATCGGCGGGCAAGAAAATACTGATTCGCTTGCGCAACCCGAAGCGGATCAGAATGTCAAAACTTCACCATCTAGCTCTGCCTCTAGATCTTCTTCAACCATTTTGGTTGTTTTTGCAGCGTTGGGAGGAGCCAGCTTATTTTTCTTTTAAATTGGAGAAAATAAATAATGTCGTCGGATCAATCCTATAGAGTGTGCCATGTGAGATATTTTTGTATTTGTGTACGTTTTACTTTTTTTATATGTTATCAATTCGATTGTGGAATGTGTGATACACGCTAACGCTAGATTGAAAACTACACATTGACACTCAATTTTTTTATAAGTATGGGTTTTATTCAAACGATTATAACTTATTCGGTGTTTTCTTTCTTGGTAGTAAATGATTACAACAAAAATATGAGTTTTTACGCATCAAACATTTATAACTTATTAGGGCTTTTTCCCCAAGGATTTCTAAAAAAGGTGAATTGCAAGAATAACCAAAAAAATAATAATTGACAAACTAATTAAAACTAAGCCATGTGGCTTAATAAATCCATTAGAATTAGGATAAATTGTTAGGTTTTGAATTAGAAGTTTTTTTAGTGTTACTAAGTCCAATTTTCCTTCTAAAACTAGTCATTGACAAAAAAGTGTATTATTTAAATTCTTCTTTATCTTTCTAGGCAATTATATATATTAAATTTGACGTTTTTCAGTTTTAGCACTAAGATCATAGTTTTGTAATTATTTTAA